CTTTCGTCCACACTTTCTGCCCCCCACCCCTTCACCTCATTTGCCCCCTACTCTGGGCTCTAGACCCTTTCTACAGCCTTTCTTCTGCTACTCTTTGGCTTCTTCTTACTGCAGTCTTTCAGCTACACCCCTGATCTTATGGTAGAAAGATCTACACCTAACCTTCTCTGATAAGGGCGAAAAGTCTCGGGGGTCCCGTGTGCAAGTTGTTCACGTTAAAAATCCCTTGGTGCTCCGAAATCGATAAGAGTAAGTTTCGCCGCCACCCGGGCAAAATTCAAAATTTCCTGTCAACTGAAAATGTTTGTGTCCCACACGCTCATATGACCTTATGCAGTTGTCAGCGCCGTAAAAAACTTACCCCAAAAAATGCTCAAAATATAAATGGTCTATATCTCATAAATGGAAAGGAAAAATAAAAATTTGAATTGCACCCCCCCCCCTTCCAAAAATCATGAATTCCTAGGGCGGCTAGGGTTGACACCATAGAATCTAGGCAAAGTCAGTCCGCTGGTCAAAAAAGAACCACCACCAAAAACCCCCAAAACAACAGCAACACTAAAGCGTAGAAACACTTAAAAACAAACATAACATACAAAAACAAAACCACCATCGCCACCATCTTCACACGTATCACACTAGCAGCAAAATACAAACAAACAAAAAACAAATCCCCTCCCCCCGCCCCCAAGAAAATAAAACAGAAAAGACAGAAGGCTTTGCAAGACACAGAGTCATTTCAAAGACCGAACAACAGGATAGTAACTGGGCTTAGCTGACATGTGAAGTAGACAGAGGGAATTGGGGCCTATCTTCGATTTCTTAGGCGAGCTGAACATCTTTGCATTTTCTTGCTCTTAGACTAGAACTAATCGATGAGTCTGAATTCAACTTCTCATTACGAATAAGAGATACAACTCTAAATTTAAGTCCGCTTTTGATTTTTTTAAAAATGAGTAAAGGCCTTGAAAACGTTTAAAAACAACAGAACTAAGAAATGTACACAAATGACCTCGCACTGAGACACGTGAGCGATAATTTTTCCGTTGAGCTTACGTGCTGATCCCGTCGTTATGACAAAACTGTAATGACTTCATGAAATGGAAATTTTCTCCATTACCGATACACATCTTCTTTGAACCTTGAATTAATTGTGGGTGGATTAATAAATCATTAAACCCCACTCTGTCCATGAATATAATTCTACAACAGGTGGCACAATAAATGTTTTGAAGATATTCCCATCAGACTTTGTTATAAGTTCGGTTCTCGGTTACCATGTATCGAATGGCCTAAAGAAAAACATTTTTCCTATTTTATTTAAATGCAAATGAGTCCTTTGCAATATGAAGAAACAATGCAAAGTGAATGATCATGGTGTGTTCATTGCAGATTGTGACACTAAGCATCTTGCATAGCAATGAGATAGAAAATTGGAGCGAATCGTTGGATAAAGAGGTATCTATCTATCTATCTATCTATCTATCTATCTATCTATCTATCTATCTGTCTGTCTGTCTGTCTGTCTGTCTGTCTGTCTGTCTGTCTGTCTGTCTGTCTATCTATCTATCTATCTATCTATCTATCTATCTCATTTTTTCCTACACAGCTCGACCTGGTGTGTGACAAAAAGGAGTATCGAACTCACGCCAACATGGCTATGATGCTGGGGAAGTTAGCGTCTGCCATTCTGCAGGGCATTCTCAGTGACACGTAGGTTTACATTACTTACTTTGCACAGAGTCTGTTCAACTGCCCACTGTTGTGGCAGAATGTCTTATTTTGGTATATGTTTATCGACTATTTCAGTGTTTTACTAAGCATTCACTAGACTTCTAACTTTTAAGTAAAAACATAGACGATCACCAGCCTCCATCCATCCATCCATCCATCCATCCATCCATCCATCCATCCATCCATCCATCCATCCATCCATTCACCGGTCCATTTATCCTTATTTCCCTCAACCCGACGTTTGATTCAACTGTATGTTTGTCTATATCTATCCTTCAACTGCCAATGGTGACATCCTTAATTTTCAAAATCCTTCTTTGGTTTAGATGCGTATCTTTTTGTCTCACATTCACACAAAAAAGGAGAGGAACACACGCGCCCAGGCTTTGTAGTTCACCTCTCTCATAATATTTCTCATTTACATTTATTTCCATTGATGAATAAACATTTTGTACCACATGGCTTTTGTAGCGTTTTAAGTTGTTCAATATGAATAAGAATTGGCAGAAATATTATCCTGTTATGCCGTTTAATAGTAAAAGTCAGCTCCACAAAATCAATGACAATCTTGTTCTTTCAAAATTCTACAATATCATCATAGTGACCGATCATAAGGTGGTGTCGCTAGCCTAGTGATTAGGCAACTGGACCTGAAATCATGGGATAGGCACTTTACACCATTTCCCTAATTGTCTCCGAAGTTAAGCCTTTTAAATAACCGTATAGTGTTGATAGGAGCGTTAAACCTATACACTTTCACATTTAACCGATTATGATAATGTTAGTGAAATTATGACAATCAGTTGTCAAGCTTATGTAGACAAGAATGGCATTCGATTCTAAGATTCATTTAAACGAAGATTATCAGAATTAACATAAATACAGTAAAAATTGAATCAAGCAACCATTGTTCTTCCAGTGCACACGGTGATTTCCTAAGGCAGGTTATCACCTTTATGTGTTTTAAAAGAATATTCTATTTAGTCTTAGAAATCAGTTTTTAGTTTTTATATGAACACAAGAGACGGTATTAAAAATGACTTTAAAAAATATATTATATATTATATATATAATTATATATATACATGTGTGTGTGTGTGTGTGTGTGTGTGTGTGTGTGTGTGTGTGTGTGTATGTATATAATATGTATGCATATATATAATATGTATAAAAACATACATGAATATATTTATCATACATGTATATTATCATATATTTGTAGACCACTGCTATTACACGATTACCACCACCACCACTACTACTACTACTACTACTACTACTACTACTACTACTACTACTACTACTACTACTACTACTACTACTACTACTACTACTACTACTACTACTACTACTACTACTACTACTACTACTACTACTACTACTACTACTACTACTACTACTACTACTACTACTACTACTACTACTACTACTACTACTACTACTACTACTACTACTACTACTACTACTACTACTACTACTACTACTAGTGTTGCTTACACCCGGTCCTCCTCACCTCCTCGTTCCCACAGGTATGGGAGGCGGTTCACGCTGCTTTTGTTCCTAGTCGTTGTCGTGGCGAGCACGTTCGCGAACGCTTTCATCAGTGACGTCACCACACTTATCGGTTTTCGCTTTTTCTCTGGCCTCTCCACCACCAGCTGCTACATGAACGTTTATATCATTGGTGAGTGATTATCATAAATGTTTTACGCTTCAATCGACCCCTTTTAGAGCTACATTGGAGGCAGGCTGCTTCCCCTACACGCATTGTCATTATTTTCTGTCGTCTCCTTCCCAGCTGTATAATGCAACTTTTGCGTCAACACATTTCGTTTAGGTATGTTGATTGTTTGCTGCCCTAGGATATAACAACGCTCTATCTGCTCAGTACCTAGTTTTTGACTAATTTGACGCAATTATTTATAGTTTCACAACATGTCAAACCTTTTCGAATGCATTTCTTTGAAAATAATGTAACGATTTTGATAGAGCAGAGAGTACATCAAAGCGGCTACAAATGTCAGAAAGAACTTTGTAATTCTTAGATGGTGTATTATTGTCAAGTTAAACGGCCTGATTGGCCAGTGCTTGTTAACCTTTATAAGCCAGCACCCTCTTTTGTCACCTTTAAGATGCTAAAATATGTGTACCTCCCACCTACATTTCAAACAGAGTATTACACGTGTCAGGTTGATCACCCACCGCCTACCCAACTTTCCAAAATCGCCCATTGGTTGTGATATCGCCAAATCTGGCAAGTACTGTAATAATTTTATACCAATTGATGGTTTTCATGTCGTCAGGAGATCAGTCTGAGAGGAAATTTTTCGAGGGGTAAGAGAAGAAGAATCCGGACTCTAGTTTCAGCTTCTTTAATATAATCAACCCTATGATTATTTTAGATGTACTGAGTGCTCACGTTACACCTACGGTAATTATATGTTTTTTCCCCTACAGTGTTAGAGTTCCTGGGCCCCAGATACCGTCAAAGATTTAACATCACGGCAGCGGTACTCTGGATCAGCGGGGGCTATGTGCTCACAGTGATTGCCTACTTCATCCGGGACTTTCAGACCTTGACCTTGATCCTAGCGGGGCCAACCGTTTTGCTGCTGTCCTATTTTTTGTGAGTTCCCATTTCCCAGCTAGGGTAACTGTGTGCTGCTTAAAGACTCGCCCCAGTTTCCACACCCCCCCCCCCACCCCTAAGGGCTGTGTCACCAACACACATATTTTGAGTTGCATTTATCCGTGCAGCTTTGACCCAAAATTGAAAACCTGGGCTCCCACAATATTAAAAAGTGGAATAGGAAAGAAACTTAACAATTCTGAAATATTTCACAACAATCCGTAGCGATCGAAATCTACATTTATTGTAAACGTTCTTAAGGGCCTACAGGTCGGCCGGACAGGTTTCTGGTCCGTAGGGCCAATCGTAACGTGTAATAAGAAATGCGGCTAAAAAAAGCGTAGGCGAACATCCGGCGAATAGCCGGCCGGCCGGATGCAAAAAACCCACAGCCGGTGCCTGGGAATTTGACGTCCGGCCATCCGCCTTCAGGGGAGTGTCGACTATCTTTGAATTTTGCTGCGCCGTGGACAACAGAACTAATTTCAAAATTATAGAAAATCACGTTATTGGCCGTCAAACCTTATGATATGAACAACATCACTTTAACTTTAATTTGAGCTGTTGAATCTGTAGCATTACTCCCCATTATCATACCTCCCATTATCTCTCTCTCTCTCTCTCGTTCTCTCTCTCTTTCTCTCTCTCTCCCTCTCTCTCTCTCTCTCTCTCTCTCTCTCTCTCTCTCTCTCTCTCTCTCTCTCTCATTTAGTTTTTAGTATAGGTTTTACGGTGCTCGCAACTGCATAATGTCATATGAACGCCAAGGGGTGGATGTTAACAGAGAAGTCCTTACAGGTAATCACACTTACTCTGCTCTCCTGTCTAGCTTAAACAGCACCACGTCATAATTAGACAGCCACCTGAACAATCAGTATGGATACCTTGCGGGCTTTGGTGCTGGGGGGAACAGAGCACTTATGGACCAGTCCGGTGTGCAATGACGTTGTTGCCCAGGACAGGTAATACAGGCACAAAGACTATCAAGGCACCCGGGAAATAGTGGTTCACAAGAGTGTGACAAACATACAAAAGAAGTAGAGGAAAAAACGACAATAATAAGGATTAGGAAAGAAAAAGCAGCAGTTCCCTGTTGTAGATCAGGCACAGTTATTAGCTTGGCATTGATGAATCCGCCAATTTACAGTTCTACTGTGCTTGAACGGGAAATGTACCCCCTTTGGGGTTGGACTAAAGACACTTCAGTCAGTGGCACCGCCTCGGGGTCTCTCTCCCCCCCCCCCTCTCTCTCTCTCTCTCTCTCTCTCTCTCTCTCTCTCTCTCTCTCTCATACACTCATGGTACTGTAAAATAGCTTACCAGACATCAGCTGGAACACAATCACTGCAATCTTTACTTATATGCTTGACCATTAATTCTCAAATGCTCTTAGTTTATAACTGTATGATTTGGATCTGCTCTCTTTCAGTCTGTCTACTCAAGCCACAACGCCTCGTGCGATGCCTCTAAAACAGCCTTTTTATGTCCAGCAACTTTTAAACTGAACACTTGGCAAGCACAAAAACTGGCCACCAACCCTTTGTTACATTCTTGGTGTTTAACCTTGTAAAACTCATTGTTCCCCTTATCGTTTCTCCGCCAGCCTTGTCCCAGAATCTCCGAGATGGCTTGTCTCTAGAGGGCGCTATGAAGAGGCCAGGGTCATCTTACAAAAGGTAGCCCAATAGTATATTGCAGACTGACACAGATTTCTGTTTGAAAACTTCCAAAGCTTTTAGCTGATTTTTTCCGAGCTGCTGGTGACTCGACTATTTCTGTTTTGGTTTAATTTATCTCGCCCCTTCAGTGCCGAAGCTCATCATCTTGAACTAAACAGTTGATCTCTCTCTCTCTCTCTCTCTCTCTCTCTCTCTCTCTCTCTCTCTCTCTCTCCCTCTCTCTCGCTTACTCTCTCTCATTCCCTATATTTTCTCTGTTTATATCATACTCTTAGGATTTTCTTACAATCACCGCCTTTGAAACTTAAGTGGCAAAAACATTAGCCCTGTTACCATTAACACTATATTTACTGTTTCTTTAATTAGATTATTTGTGCGACAAGATGGTGAAATCAGGCGCTCGTCAAAACGATGAAATTGAAGAAGCTCACATTTTACGGCCAGTTTTGCCATTTTTATCATTTTTTTGCGGGGGGGGGGGGGGGGCTCAACATCTTATGTGTCCTTTTAAGAACACATTTTGAGCGGATTTTACTGAACTCCGTTGATTAAAGGCACAAAAAATGTAAAGTTTCAAGTACCCACGGACTCTCTAGCTATTGCACCCCCCCCCCTGGCTTTGGCGGCCATTTAACCTCTGAAACAAGTCGACCTCCACCTCCTTCAATTGCAGATATCTTTACTTATATTCCAGATAAATGGGTTTTTTTGTCATCGAAGGAAAGACAAAACAAAACAAGTTTTAAGATAATACCAATAACTCAACATGCCCAAAAATTGACGAGCGCCTGATTCCTCCTTGTCGTGACACATTTTAGCATTTCCCAAGATGCTGTATTATATTACTCATCCAAAGGTCGCCAAAATGAACCGAAAGACATTCCCGACGGTGCTTTACGAGAAGATGGTAGAAGAGGAGAAAATGAGGACTCAAGAGATCGAAGAAAGAAAGAAAGACGAATCTCGAGTAGTTGTAGAATTTGGGAATGAGCAACAAACGTCTGAGTCGATCGAGCCCAGTCGTCCCAACTCAGCCTCGAGGCAGGAGAACTTGTTCTCGCTCTTTCGCCACAAAAGTCTGGTCATCCGATACCTCATTGTCCTATGGAATTGGTAAGTCAGAAATGTGTTGATTAAAAAAAAAAAATAGTTTTTTTTACGCTCCCCTCGGCACATTTTAGATTACTTAGGAAGGGGGGCTCAACTCTGCCTGTGAGGGGCAACCCAGGCTTGGGGGGGGGGGGGGGGAAATACAAATCGCAGCAGAAAAACCGAAAAAAATACAAGTGTGAATGAAGCAAGGTGTGAATGTATGAAAGAAGCAAGATGAAAGAATTGATTACGGTGGCTATGGGGAGCAACGATTACATCAATTGTGACATGCTGCCAAGATTATTCATCTTTTTTACTTTGTCTCTATTTCTTGATTCCAGGTATTGATATGTATCTATACCTCTTATTCCGAATCCCTCTTTTTTCCTATTTAACACTGTTGTCATATAATATGACAGACAACAGTGAAACGTTTCACGCACCTGTTAACTTGTCTTCGGACTTGTATCCAAGTTGGCACAATATTTTAGTTTATTACTTTAAACGACATCTAATTTCCCGAACGGGTTTCTTGCTTTCAGGTGTGCTAACAGTATGACGTACTATGGAATCCTTTTCAACACACAAAACCTGAGTGGTTCCATTTACGTAAATTTCAGGTATGGATATCTCTCTCTCTCTATTTGCAGTTTTCTTCTTTTTTAGTTTGCAAGTGACTAGCGGATGTTCAGGCTCTTTCCACCCCGTATTCCAGCTAGTCGTACCTTGATCACTCGATTGCCATAGCATAAGTCACCCGGCAACGCGAAACAACGTTTACGATTTTGATCTTTTCAATTGACACCAGTCTAACATGATTAACAGTTTGGTAGGTCCGTTACGTCACCTATTATTTTTCTTAATCTGACGTAGTCATGAGGACAGACATTCTCTCCATTTATTTAACTAACACCCCGGGAGCATACTTTTGACAATTTGGTTTCCTTAATGAAAGATAAAGAAGAGAAGTCACAAATTATTTAGAGTTCAAACATAAAATAGATCTAATAATCTTTTCGTTCTTCCCCCATTTAGATTTGATAAAAACTTTTATAGAACTTACTGTTGAGCAGGAGTTTGTTCTAGACAAATGACATACATAATGCATTATTATTATAATTCTGATAAGAAGTAAACATGCTCCCTTGATCCATAAAAACGATGTCTTTTAAAAAAAATTACATGTATTGTTGCAGCTTGACGAACGCTGTGGATGTTGTGGGGAACCTGGGTTCTTACTACTTCGTGGACAAAGCAGGCAGGAAAAAGACATACATCTTTTTCTACTTTGTCGCTTCCTTTGCCTGTCTTTCGGCCATCTTTCCCTCTGTGTACGGAACGAAGGAAGGTATTTAACTAAAACTAGATGTGTTTCAAAGTGGAAAAGATGTGTGTGTGTGTGTGTGTGTGT